TTAGCAGAGCGCACACCCAAACACTCACACTCACATCAATCACATCAGTGCACTCATACGACGCAACACAGTGCATGAAAATACATCCAGCGTCTTCCTTTTCGGGAGCACAAATACTGAAGCCGATGGCTAACTTTTTTTCTTTTTTTTCAATTTTGAATAAATAGCTCATATGGAGAAGATGGAATCGAACAAATGTTTTCATGCACATAAGCTGGTCTCTATGTAACAGAGGTAAAATCCATAACCTATACAGACACACACTAACATGCAGAAATATTTTTGACAACACTGCAGTCCTATGGTGATTAAACATTGATTCTAGTGTTGCCATAGCAGCACTGGATAGACAACATACAATCCAAAATACAGTCACAAAAAATAAAAAAGCCGCACAACAAATGGACCCTCACTGCAGCTGACCCAAACCATCCACATTGCCTTTTAAAAGTATCCACACACCGTGTTCTATTGTACATGTTCTTATATTACAACTATAAATGTCTACATAGATAAGTGAATGGAAAAATATATGGGTTTCTCATTTATTTGAGGTGTAAAGATAGAAAATATCAGGGTGCATTTATATTGAGCCTTTATCATGTCTTGCCTTCAAAGCTAAACTGTGACTATGCCATCATAACATGCAAATAATTTGATGTAAAAATTTCCTTTTTAGTGTTTTTCTTGTTTTAGCTCTATCCATCAGTACCATCATGTAGCATGATGCTACCACCACTGTGTTTCTACCTCTGTAACCAGGTAAATACGATGACACTCCACCACATTAAGCGAAAGAGTTACATTCCTCTAATCGGTCTTCATATCTTTGTCGTTCCTTGTACGTGCATTTTGGCTTTCTTTCAGAAAAGACCTTCTTCGTGCCCTCTCATAATGAGCAGATTAACGTACAGCTAACCACCTCCTGTTGACTGATTATACTGAATAAACAGCAAATCTCTGCAGCTATCAAACATCTATCAAATGATCCATATGACTGAAGTTGTAACATGACAAGTTACCAAAAAAAGGGCATTTATGGGCACAAACAATTTTGCAAGGCATAGTAACATCAGCAATTATCACAAACATTCATGGAGACAAATGAGTTGGGATAGACTGAAAGTTTTAAGGGAAAGGAATCAAAAGTGCGTGATGTGTCTGTGTGTTCGTGCAGATGTGCGTCTAGCAGCGGGTTTATTTCCACTCCGTCGAAAGGAGCCCTTGATTGGAAGAGGTCTTTACAAGCAGGAGGAGGGGAGAGCAATTTCCTCCCAGCCTCCGCCAGTTCCGCTGAAATAACAGAGCAGAGGAAGCCCTGCTCTCCTGGGAGGAGACACGCACACACACACTGATGCACATGCAGGCCTAACAAGAAGGCCAGCACTGGACTTAAAAACAATCACGCACACAGACACACCTAAACGCAACCCAGACATATCAACAAACAAAATATATATAAACCAACAACTTATAACAGAAACTAACTTTAAGGGTCAATAATAGATGAATCGCCTGATTCTGGCCGTACATGACAGAACCACATCAGTCTCATAAGACATTAAGACACTATAAAGGACTGTGTGTATTTTAGTAATTAAACTTTAGGAATTAAATGTATACTTCTTACAGATATAGCGATATTTGTAACATTTATTTCTTGTAATTGTGCAGATAATGGTTTCCAGCTGCGAAGACCCCAAAATATTGGTTCTCAGACATTTAGATCAATAAAAACAGGAAAGAAAAGTTCATAGACAAGTCTTCGCAACAAAGGTTAGCCAGGAAAAGTGGCTGCTAAACACAAAATGCCATATTTATGCAGAATACAAACAGAAAGTTTAGTGTAAGGAAAACTTATAAAGAAAATAAAGTGCACAAGCAGAAAAGGCTTTGATAGGATGTGCAGAAAAGCTTGTGTTAATGTAATTAAAATAATCACAAGGCATAATCTTTTCAGAGGAACATTTTATTTATATTTTGAGATCCCAGAGTCTGGAGTAGAGAGTAAAAAAGGACATGATCATAGCTGAGATCAAGGGGTCTTCATAATCAGTGATGAATTGGTAAAGAATATAATTTCCAGTAGTTGGTCTGCTGTGTTTGATCAAGTCCAAAGTCAGAGCTGAGCTACATCAGGAGAACTTCATGCTTCCTCTAATGCTGCTCAAGGCCATATGCTGTGATGTCAGTAAATGTCAGGGTAGGGACAAAACTTAAGATGATAAAAAAAAGTGCTTAGCAAACATAGGCCCAGATACTGAGCAGAATAAATAGAAACTCTCATTTATATTTCCATCTTATTTTAATGTTTTTCATTGAAATTTTACTTCTGTTTTGGAATTAACAACTTAATTCAGGCTTAACCGCTTTAAAATATTTTTACGATGCATTAACAAACACCACCTAAGTAGAGATAATACACCCACAGATCTGTAATGCTTTCCACCCTAATAGTGTGCTAACATTTATTTAAGTCCAATCAGTTTGTCACACGAAGAATACTGCATAGTGATATTAAGATGAGGCTGCAGGTTGCACCTTTTTTGTTTTTTTCTCAGGAGGATATGACTCCCTCCCCCATTGTGAAAAGTACTTCTGCCTTCTTTATAAGGTATTGGTGAGTTTGTCCTACAATCCAACTTTCCTGACATAAACCCTGCAGAAAAACCCTATTTTCAAGAGAAAGAGGATAAATACCAACTCAGACATGCTTTTAAAGCAAGCTAGGCTTCCTGAACCCCTCAGCAGAACCACGGGCTCTTCACCTCCACGCCATGATACACTCATGCTGTAATTCAGGCAAAATGGGCTCAAAGGCTGTAAAATGCAGTACATGGACATACTTTCAGGCAGTCTGAACTATGTGTATTAAAATGATTTTATAGGTCTGATGTAAAACTCTAAACCCCTAAGAAATTGAGTTTAGGGTTTTCCATAAGCTGTTAGCCAGAATGCCTCACATGTGTCACTTTATGTGTATGATATATCAAAGGTCTACATACATGCTTCGTCTTTCTACACCAATAAAAAATAAATCAACTTTTTAAAAGATGCTCTGACCCAGTGTCACAGTGGAATCCAAATAATCAAAAGTTCCCTCCATTTTTAAGCTCTTGAGCAGTTTGTGTCATGATGAGCGGCTACTGGGCAGGCAGGTGAAACCTCTTCCAAACAGCTGCTGCACTTTATGATCGCTTGCTTCATGCCTATAAGCGAAACAAGATCACTCAAAGTTCAGCCGTCAAACTTTCAAAATAAATGTCGGCATGAGGTAATTTGTGTCAGTAGGCAGGCTTGGTGTGTGTGTGTGTGTGTGTGTTTGCAGCAGAGAGCTCATCAATGAGGGAGTGCTGTGCTGCAGCCATGCCCTGAGGGGAGTCAGTCAGTGGGGAGAGACGCCAGCACAGGCTATACGAGTCCCGCTGCCTCACCTCCTCCGCCTAACCCTCACTGCCTCACATGGAACTGCCAACATGTGCGTCAGTGTGTGAGTGTGTGTGGGGGGGTTAGGGTAATATTAACTTGGTGGGTTAGGCTTAAGGCTTCACCACCACACAAGGAGTGGGGAAGCAGGAGAAAAGACTACAGCAACAACAACCTTAAGGCTCTCATATCTCTGCTTACGTAAGTAACAAAGTTTTCTCCGTCAAGGCTCTAATTGAAGTGGAACCGCACAAGCCGTGGCAGGCCAAAAAAAACCAATCACTCTCAAATCTGTAATGAGCCTAAACACAACTCTGCACGCTCAGGATCTCATAAAGTAAAATACAAAATATGACCCCCTCCTCTTTGTAATTTGTTTTGGCTGGGACCTTTCCTGTTAAGGTGTAGGTCTCCATTCTCAGCTGAAAGAAATGTCACCAGTTTACCTATATCACTCAAACACCTCCGGCTTATCAAAACCTCCTTCGCCTTGCATGCCTCGCACACAATAATCAGCGGTAGCCGTGCTCAGTAGCTCGCTAAGCCTCTTACACCCTTCCCTCAAGATTAGTGCTTGGGAGCGACGACAGATGCGCTCTGTGGTGATAAAACACACACACACAGCCGGCTGCACCTGTGTGAACAGATTTGATGGCGTGCTTGCTCAAAGCTGACACACAGACGCAGGGGGAAGAAAAAAAAGAGTGCGGTGATGCCATAATCGTGACACACCTGCAAGGCCTCAAGGTTTGGCACGGCGCCCCCGGTTCGAGCCCCTGAGGAAAGAGCTAGGCAAACAAGAGTTCAACGGCGGACAGGTGAGGAGGAAGCTGATTCAGTCAGGCTGTAATGATCCTGACCAACAATATGTCTAACGTCTGGAGGAATTAATTGGCAGTTCACTGCTTTTAAATAAAGAGCTCTTTTCGACACAAAAGGGCAGAGAGAGGATCCACTGTTCAAGCTGTGAAGAATTACCATCAAATTTGACATGTGAGCCTGTGGGGTCCTCACCATGAAGGGTAAAAGAGACGCAAGTCTAGAATGTGCTCACATAGATCCCTCGGAAAAATACCAGAACCACTAGCCCAACTGTTATCAAGCGAACCAAACGTAGATGCATCTTTTCATCGCAGAAACAATCGATTATTTCAAACAGGAGAGGTTTTTTATTTATTAAAAAGTGCCAAATCACAACAAACTTCATTTGAGGTACTTAACAAGCAAGTAGGTCCATATATCATTATATGGGACCCAGTTTGGATTCAGATCAGTCCAATTTATTCCAAAGCATAAAGTCAAAATGGGATGCAGCTGGTAAAGACTTGTCTGTGATCCTATGATCACACAGTAATCCTACGCACTAAAAAAAGTTCTTTTTAAGTAAAAATATTTTTTAATACAGTATTTTATCCACAAATGCTGTAAACGTGCTGCTTTATTTTGATTTTCTCAGCAATCTTTGAACCCTTTTCAGCACAAACATCAACAACAAAAAGATGCATTTGAGTTCTAGAAGTAATAAAAAGCTTTTAATTTTGAATTTAAACATGAAGACGAAGCAGCATTCTTACCACTGGAGATGAAATCCGGCAGCCGGGGCAGTCACAAATTGGAGGGTGCACCTGTAAGATTCCTTTGGACATAAGAGTCTTGAGACTTTTCCCTAACAAAAAAAAAGATATACAGTAGATATTTAGAAACTAGTTAATTTTCTCACATTATAAACCAGCTTCAGATAGTTTAGACTTTCAAAGCTCCAGCAGATAAATGGAACTTACACTCATTTGACTTTGACATTAACTGCATCCACAGTGTGGACAGCTACCCAGACAGAAGCCTACTGTCATCTAGCCATAAGAAATGGCATAACAAATGATTAGGATATCATTATGGACCTGGGGGGGACATCCCTCCCCACACACCCACTTAATGTGTCACTCCTGCCCCTGTTTGTGTGTGCAAAAACTGGAGGTCATCGTAGCAGAAAATACATCCCAACCAACTAAGAAAAACACATAAAAAAATCAACAATATTTGGCTAAATTGTTTAAAATTGGATCTACCACACTCCAAAAAAAATGTATCCAAACAGCAGCTATACAATTAAAGGCAATATAGTTCATTTGAGTCACAACACTTACTTTAAGTCCAACTTTTACTGCGTAAAAGCGTCAAATCCCATGAAAGACAACCTGATCCAAGTCGATATAAAGCTTTAAGGGGAATATTTCCTGTTTTTTTATCTTATCCCATCCAGAAGCCCTGGCATGGAGAGCGATCGCAGCCCAGGGTCTGTGCCAAACTCTCGGACGGAGAGAGGAGGCTATCTATGCGCCTTTTACCCATCTGTCTCCTTACGCACTGACTGCTGTAACCCTTTCACTCCAAAACACAGTGGAGTTTAAAAGGGATGATAAAATGTTTTCATACATTGAATGAAAGTTAATCTTACCTTTGTGTCTGATGCTCCTCTTCCAGTCTTTGGCTGTCTCCCGTCCACTAACAAACTGGAACTCGTTGGGGGTGAGCCACTCGCCCCTGTATTTGATCGAGGGTCCCTTACTGCCCTGACACAGTTTGTTGATATAAAGCAAAGCCTTGTTCTCTCCGCACTCCACCTCGATGCAGGGCTCCCCGTTATCGAAGAAGGGCTGAAAGTCCGGGATGGAGGAGAACCTCTCCAGCATCAAGTCGTCCGTGTGGTGGTGGAGGTGCTGGTGATGCAGCGCCGAGTCGTGGAGCCCCAAGTACGCGCGATGATGGGCGAAAATGTGCTCGTAGGGCGGCGGGTGCGGGGTCACCACTGGGATGGCGGTGGCATTTAAAGGGGCCAGGTATTCGGACTGGTTGAAGGCGGTCAGAGCCATGTCGTCTCCATCCAGCCGCTCCTTTTTGATGGCAGGCATGTTAGTGGGAGCCGAGTGAGAAGCTGCGCGCCTGATCCAAGTTGAGCGTCCTGCTGGCGAGCGAGCTGGGCTGAGCCAGACTGGAAGACGCGCCGCTCGGTTTTACGCAGAGGAGCCCCCGTGTCGCCGTGAGAGAGCGGTCTGCTAAAGTTGCCGGATAGATTCCCATTCAGTAGTTTCCAGGTCGCAGCGGCAGCCTCGCAGCTCTACCTCCCACATTTAATCTGAGTCGCTCTGTTAATACCTGACATGCTGGGAAGCCCTGAGCCACTTAGGTTAGATCACTGCTGCTTAGAGCGGCTCGTCCTATCACTGGGAGAAATATAAACGATTTTATTATTAAAACCGATTTTTTTTCTTTTTTTCGTGGGGATTTGGGATTTATATATCACCTACACTTTTTATCTAATAAATAAAATAAAATAAACCATATCGCCACACGTCATTAAACAGAAACCAAACTTTAACTGAGTATTTTTCAGTTTGTAATTAATGCCGCATGAAGTTTTGAAAGAGTTGTTAAGAATGAGACTGCAGGGTGTAGCTGAAGTCACGCTGAAGTTCACAGACCCAGACCAAACAAGATTTGCACTCTCCGCCGCTTCTCAACTTGGCCCATTTAAACAGCGGAGGCTTGGCGAGAGCGCAGCGCAGGAAGGAAGGGACGGGGGAGGGGGGACTGCGAGGGACGGCGCCTCAGCGACACAGACCCATCCAGGAAGAACTGGGAGCGAGTGGAAGTAACCAGCCACCAACTCATCAAGAGTAAAATAACGGTTTCATTTCCAGCTGAAAACATTAATCTTTATCAAAGATTAGAGAAACATCATGTGAAGTTTGACTGAATGCTTTCTTTATGTTGCAGCTCTGAGCAAAATCAGATCAAATTGAACTTTTTAAGGCTTTCGGATTCAGCAGGTGAATTAATTGAGTTCAATTAAAGTTGCTTTTAAACTGTGTTTAACTAAAAACAGAACGAAAAGGTGTACAGATAACCTAAAAATGTACATATCATTAATATTTGGTAGAATGACAGTTAGACAAAGAAGGAAATCGCAAACCTTTAGAGCTTTAGTCTTTATGGATGTTGGAGATCATTTTTCCTTTTTTGCATTAAAGGTATAGAGGACGATCCTTTATTTCTGGGTGGATCATCTAAATAAGTGGTCCTCCTAACTGTCAATCATTCTGGTGATATGTTTAAGGGTGTCCTACCTGCTCGTCCCGTTAGCTATCTTTTTCTGCACATGCACATGTTTAGGCGTACATCTGTGGTGAGCTACGGTTTCAGACAGTCATTGAAGCTCACCTTTCTCAACTTTTGCGAGCTCTTCTCGCAAAGCATTATGGGATTTGCTGTCACAGCTGCCAGCTGTTGCAATAGGCTGTTGCTACCCGACAGCGGTGACTAATAACAAAGATGGCGCATGCACCGCGTGGTGGAGGAGGAGTTACGTGACCAATGGAGCAAGAAGCAGTGATCATCTGTCTGAACAGTCAGTTAACTGAGTTCACAATAATGACCACTATATGGTCCCCGCTCTATATAGTGATTGAGGGATTTAAGGGTTAGGGCGGACGTTCAGACACAGTAAGCTTGTATGAGCTATGAGAAAAGCAACTTTTAAACAGAGCATGAAGGAGAAATAGGCTTGTATATGCTTTCCCATGCACATTTGTTTTTTTAAGTTGAGAGGGCAGGTCTTTTTAAAAATGCATGAAAATCCTCCATAATAACTTTAAGTTTCAACAGGCAATCAGTGGCGTAAATATTGGTAAGCAGAGACTGCAGTTGCTTAGGGGCCTTCAAACTCTTAGGGGCCCCGTCACTGACACCTGGTTGGCCCCCTTCGCAATTGTGGACTAGGATGTCTCATTGCAGATATAATGGTGCACAAAATTCCTCTTAAAACTCACCTAATATCAAGATGACTGACCGGACCTTATTTATACCCCAACACATGGCAGATTTTAACATGATGGTGAGCCGTTTAAACACAACACCAATAGCAAAGCAGACAGCGGTACTTCTAATTAATATGGTAATAATACCATACCAATAATACAGTTGGTAAAAAATACACTCATATAATATGTTTCAAACCGCAATAAAGATCTTAAAAGAATGATATATTTGAGTTTTTTATTTTTTACACCACGACTTGGAATTATGGGTAATCCAGAGCATAGATTAAAACCATAACCATTACGTACCATGTGTTATCGACGATGGATACCAAAAAGAGGTACTTAAGCAGATTCCAGAAAAGAAAAAGCAAAGAAGAGCTGCTGGAAGAACGGAAAAAAATTCCCAAAATAGGTGGATGTTGCTGCTACAGTGAGTAAAGATTGCGACCAGGAGATGAATGGAGAGAGCGTGGGTGAGGAGGGGGGCTGTGAAGCTGAAGGTAGCCCGATAAGACTCATTTTACAGCAGAATATACTAAAGTATATCCATGTCTAGTGAAGGTGAAGAATGATCAAATGATCAAGTCTGTATTTATGGGGCATATTTCGGGTCGGTTGTCTATGGCCTGTTGTTGCTTATGGACCTATTGTTGTGTCGTTACACCATTACAGGTAATGGTTTGAGTTAGCCTTATTTATCCATTTCAGTTGTCATGTGTCTGGAAAAATTGTCCTGTTTAAAAACTCATCTGTGTCCAAGTATCAACCGTCTGAACCAAACCTTTGTCCTTAGGAGAAAGGAAATGTGTTCGAGCTCCACCAAGTCCCGATTCTGTCCTGAACAGGAAGCTGCTGTAACCACAGTGTTACTGTTCAAAGTGAACCTAGTTCAAGATAACTCTCAGTTCAGACGGTGCTTGCTTGAAAATGGATATCTTCAGGTTCTGCTGGATAGACGCAAGAGCTTAAAAACAATTTGGTTATTTGGACTTAAGTAAACAAATTGCTTCGTTGCACCTTACTTACCAGCTCTGCCTTTCAGTTTAAGTATTAACAAATTCATCTTTGAGAGAGACAGTTCTGCTATTTTTTTTACTTTGTAATGTTTAAAATCTTAAATAATAATAATAATAACCTCAGGATAAGATAAAATGAGTAAAGACAATATAGTTTTCAAATGCAGATGACATTTATCATTAATGAAAAGCCATCTATGCTATTCTGGCTCCAAGTGGTTCAGTCAGCCCTGGTCCCAACATCTGCCATCAAGCTTTTGTGACTGGAAATAGGTCCTTTATGACACTTCTAAATGGACCCTTCACCTATACTCTTCTTTGCACAGCTGCAGCTGTATTGAAGGGTGTTCGAAGGGTGAGCGTGGATCCCTGTATAAAGCCAGAATTTCAAAGGTGTATTTTATCCCAAACTTTCACCAGACCACTTTAAATTCTTTATATTTTATTTACTTTTGTTGTCTGAGTTAATAAAGTTAAATTTTATGAGTTACTTTTTGATCAACGGAGGTTTTCACCTTCAGTCTCTCTGAATAATGGCCGATGACCCTAGGGGAGGCCTGCAGAGCTGTAGATGTTCGGGGTTCTTTTCTGACCTCCTGCGTGAGTTGTTCATTGGTTCTTGGGATAGTTTATATATATATATATATATATATATATATATATATATATATATATATATATATATATATATATATATATATATATATATATATATATATATATATATATTTATATATATAT